AAGAAGTGGTTATAAACATGAATTTCGTTTGAATATTTTTTAAGTGATAAAATATCATTGAGTTTTTATATAAATTCACCAACTATGCTCTTCTACCTCTTCTTTAATCTGTAGTTAACAAATTACAATAAAATTTTATGAACAAGTATTAGAAATGAAATAAAAAACGTTAATATATATAATTATTACTATTATTATTATTTATAGATAAAGAACATTTAATTTATAAAAAATGGCTGTACCTATGAAAGAAAATTATGTATCATTAAACGATAAATATTATACAGAGAAACTATCTTTTGTACTATAGAATCTCATGCATAGATGATTTGATATTTAAAATCTTATTTTATAAAGATATTGTATATATCATACTTTTGTACATTTTATTTTATTTTAATCTTCTTTATAACATTGAATAATTAAATATAAACAATTAAACTGTTGAATTGAATACTTCAAAATAAAAACTAATTAAAAGATTAGAGAGCATATAATTATACGTTTGTAATTATTGTAATAGGTATAAGTGTCAAAATTATATCATTATTATATTATAAGTTTTATGCTTTATGTAATAACAATTTCATTTTTACTTTAAAATACACAAAAAAAGAACAATAAAATATATATCAACACAATATAATAGAATAAGTATAATAAAATAGTATATATTATTGTGCGCTACTTCATAATCAATAAAGATTCTTATTTTCTATATGAACAGATCTGTAGCCAAAAAGGTATTATTAAATTTTATAAGTTTCAAAAAGAAATGGCTATAGATATAAAAAGTTTTCATATATATATTTATATATGATTCACTCTTTTTTTTCTGAGATTCAAATTCAATTCAAATCAAATCAAATTTAAACTAATGTAATTGTTTACGTTTATATATTTATATACACGAGCACTCTTTGAACTAGCATAATAATGAGTAAATATGTAAATTTTGGTCGACTCATTTTTAAAACCTGAGGTAAAAGACTATCAAAAATATTTATGATCTTGTATAAATAATTTGGTTTTAATTAATTATTCTACTATTACTTTTTAAGGAATTCTATATTGTGCAAGATACTTAATACTTTCTCGTTTTTCTTATTTCTTCAAAATTATTCTCATATTGAACACAAGTTTTTATGTATATTATATAAATACTTTGTATGTATATATACAATATTGATAAGGCACTGAATAATATACAAAACTTGTTCAGGTCACTACAGTATTAAGTATAACATTCGTTGAATGTTCAATAACTATAGATATAAAACAGAATTATATTTACATATTATTACTTTATCAAGGTATTATTAAAATTTTAAATTTCACGATCTCTCTATATTTTAAGATAAGTAATAAATATAAAATCCGCTTAAGCATTTGCTTCTCAGAATTTTGTTTTCTATAATCGAATGTTATTATGTTGTGTAATTATCTTATATTTGTTTTCGTTAGAATTGTTAAATATCTCAGTCAATCTATTATTAGAATGAACATTTTAAAATATTTTATATGAACAACCTGTGCAAGAAGATAATTCTTTTCCTACTCCAAGTTTTATAACATCCTCATTATCACTTATTTGGCGATTATCATGTCGCCTCTGGAAAAAAATAAATAAATAAATAAAAGATCATAAATAATAATCGAGAAGATAAACTATTACATATAACGTTGGATTTATATCATAGTTATAACGTCATTATTATTTCAATCGATATCAAAATTTTTAATTACCTTGAGTTCAGATGCCAAACAAAAAAAGATAGCATCTATATTAGTATTTTCTTTGGCTGACGTTTCTATTACTTGTAAAACTTCTGGAAGATATTTACATAATGCTTCTGCTTCACTTTTTTTAACTTGGCGCAAATCTTCTAAATCACATTTATTACCTGTAGTCCAAACTTTCTATTAAAAACTATCAATCATTATCTAATGAATATATATTTATATATATTAATAGAAATTATTCGAATATTACCAATTAAAAGGAGTAACACATGAGAAGATGTGTACCTTCTTACTTCTTCCACCCAACGTTGTATACTTAAAATTGTAGATCGATTGGTGATATCATAGACTAAAAAAGATATTTTTCTAAAAATATCTAATAATAGTACAAACACACACACACACATATACATTAAATATATATTATAACAATATATAATACAAACCTATAATTACACCATCTGCAGATCTATAATAACTTTGAGTAATTGTACGGAATCTCTCATGTCCTGCTGTATCCCATATTTGTAACTATAAAAAAAAAATAGATCTTTATTCATCATTATTCACTTTAAAATATATTTATTATATTGGGTTAGCAACTAAGTGATTGCGAATTTCAAATAAGAAGGAAACGACAAAATCCACAATCACTTAGTTGCCAACCCAATAGAATATTATAACATATTAAGAACATATATATCTTGTTTGAAAGCAAGCAATATTTTTATTTAGAGGTCAATACAATATTAATTTCAGAATAAATTAATTTATAATACCTTGACTTTTTTACCATCTATCAAGACAGTTTTTATTGTAAAGTCAACACCAATAGTGGTGCCTTGTCTCTCAATGAAAATACCAGATCTAAACCTTTGAACGACGGATGTTTTTCCTGTTTCACAATCACCGATTAAAACGATTTTGAACAAATAATCGAAATTTTCATCGTTCATGGTCATTAGATTATCAGGATCACGAGTTGACATTGTTTCTTCCTTTTGTTGTTATTTATTTTCTTCTTCTTTTTTTTTTTGTTGTTTTTTTTTTTATTAATATTATTAATATTATTCTTTCTAATAATCAAATCAATAATGAACGTTGCGAATAATAATTTTGAAAGATTTATAACTATGCAACAAAATTGTAACAAGTCCGAATTATCATCACTTTAAACGTGTTCATCATGATTTTTACTTAAAAGACATTTAGTATAGAGCGAAGTACTGATCACTTTGTGCAACTGTATTTATCTTTGTAGGTTTATCGTGAACAATCCACTACGTAGAAAGAAACTTTGCACATCAAGTAGTAATTGTAATATGTTTATGTAGCTCTGTTCGGTATATAATAGGTATAATCAGTCTATGATTTCCAGCAGGTAGATACAAGGTAGATACTGGGGTCTATAGAAAAGTCGAAAAAAGAATGAATGATTTCTCTTGTATTCCCGGGGTCTTTGTCGTTTCTTTTGTTTTTTTTGGGATCTTTGTTGTTTTTTATTTTGCTTGATTGGTTTCCCACGTGTGCGTTTGGTGGCGTCGAGGCGTATTAGTTATGTGTCTTGCCGGAAGAGACGTTACAATCGTGACAAGGTTGCCACATCTGTATCACATACAGTAAATACAATCGGATTATGATTTCAAGCAGCTATGCCTATGGTTAGTAAAAGATTCGAAGAAAGAATAAATGATATTTCTTTGTATTCCCGGCATCTTTTTCGTCTTCTCTATTCTTGGGATCTTTTGTTGTCATTTACTTTGGTTGGTTTCCCGTTTATGCGTTTAGTGGCATCAAGGCGTATTAGTTATGTGTCTTGCCGGAAGAGGCGTAACAGTCGCTACGAGGTCGCCATATCTTCGTTACAACACAGCCATCTACTGGTTAATAAAAGTATTAAATACGTAAAAATGTCCTTTTAGTTGAATTGACTCTATCATGATTAAATATATATTATAAATATATACACATTTTTATGTATACATATATAGATAAATAATTATCTACATACGTGTTTATCAATAAAACGTCAGTTCTTTTTCCTATTTAAGAAAAGTAAGCGTGTCTTTTCAATACGTAAGCTATAAAATCATTTATTATTTCGATTATTTTATATTTATTTAAACAATACTGCATTTGTTTCAAAATTATATAGCTATCATTGTTTAAATGTTCTTTTTTATTGTTATTGCATTATTTAAAGTTACGTTAGAAATGTTAATAATAATTCATTATAAAGATATCAGACAAATCAATGGGAAAAACGAGTCATATTTTGCGTATTTATGTCTTTTTGGAAAAAAAGAACAATATATTATCTACGAAACAATATATTTTTACTGAAACTATATAATTACAATTGATAAAATTTTGTGATGACTTTAATATTCTTAAATTTTATATTACATGCTATTTTTTGATAATATGTAAATAGATAAATAAATATATTTTTTGACAATATATCAAAGGTTGTTCTGCCCATGCACGAAAGGAATTGTTCAACTTCCTTAGCTGTAAATACGACGCCATATTTGTTCAGTAGGTGTCAATATGACACGGCATTTTAATAAGCATATTTTTTCTAGCGTACTTCCTTTATCACTATATCAATCGATTCTTTAAAAATATCTTCTTTATTTTTTATTAAAAATATTTTCTTGAAAAATTCCTTATACTTCACTAATTTTATTTCGTAATTATTAGAATTTAGATAGCCTCGTACAATTATCATGTATAATTAAGTCGAAATTAAAAAATATATATATATATATATTTTTTTTTTCGTTCTATCTATTAATAATTACGTAAAATTTTAACAATTCGAAGATAGATGGTGATTCGATCACGAATATCTAACTATATTAAACATCGGTCGATTGATATTTGGTCCCTAGTATTTTACACACATACATTCATTTGATACTAAAAGTGTAATAATATATTACTTTATATATCGACACGTTATCTGATATCATGAAAACATTAATTTTCAGAAAACATTGAGAAGTTATATCGATCGACAAATTGATTGTTTATATACATACATACACACACATACACACATGCTGTATATATATATGGTCGAAGTTACGAATATTTACTTCCTCAATATTATATAAGTGCAAGAAAATATCATAAAATATGATGGAAGCATTTATAATTTATAGATGCTATATTCAAAAATAAAAATGCAATAATAGCTTAACAAAAGTGTTGATGTGGATAAAAAAAAAAAAAAGAAAAAAAAGAAATACTGATAAGAAAGATGGTGTTCTCTTTTTTGATCTTAAATGTGCGGTACTATACATAGTATATACAAGTGTTAACATAATAATATACATTACAATATATCATCTTGAAATAAGATTTTCAATTGAATGAGATCAATGATATTTTAAGAAAGAAAAAAAATGTGTTGAATAATTTAAGTGACCTCCCACATAGTGGAACTGTCACTGTATCTGTGTACCCTCGAACCAACTTCAACGTGGGCATCCAAACCATCGCTCATTTTACTGAAACGTCTTGCCCAATTGGTTCTACCAGGAGCACCAGTAGGTCTACCTATACTTCCAGCTTCTCTTAATACAGAAAGTATATCCTCCTCGTCCTCTCTACCCTTTAATCCCTTCTCATATTTAGCCTCTTGTGCTAGCAAACGTTCTCGTTGAAGTTGTGTTGCTAAGGCACGCGGTACAGCTGGTATAACATAACTCATTATCCCAGTCAATGCAAAAACCTATTGTATAATAATGATGATAATAATTTTTTCAAATAATTTAAAATTTTAATAAATCAATCTTCTTTAAGACTTACAACATGTTCGAAGACAACTACGAATGCTAATCGTGCTGCAAATACATGCCAATATTGTGGGCTTAATCCGTAAGGATCTAATTTGTGATCGGGTCCATTTCTGTATCCCCTGTATTGGCATGTTTCTGGATGTTCCTTGGCATCACTCTTCATGTCGTCACGATAATCAGAAGTATTAAATTCTGACAGAGAGCTGTCAATGTAACCGACCAAATCTTCCGTTGGAGAATAAACAAATGCATAGACACTTCGTGGAATGAAGTCTGAGGTATAAGCTATGACGAATGCCTGTTAAAACGTTTTATAATATTAAAATTATAAAATTGTTAGTATGCTAGTATATCACATCATATCATTACATAATAAAGTATAACATTATATGACAATGTACTACTATAAGACAATATATCATTATAATAACATTATGCCATTATATAATTTTATTTCTAAATTATTGGACTTATATAAAAATACAATTTTTTTTTTTATATTAAATTAATTATATAAAATAACGTACGTTTGATACAACAGCAACGTATGTGACACCACGGAGAATACCATACCAAGCACCAATATCTGCCACTCTTTCTGCTAAAGGTCTTCGTGATTCTTTCACCATTTTATAAGCATCCAATCTTATTTCCGCGATATTATTTAATAATGCGAATAATGGTGCTAATGGAAATGCTGCTACGAAGAGAGTTACGAAACCATACTGAAGAACTAAAAATTATGTATATATATATATATAATATTATCAATAAATTATTTATATATATCACATAAAGATAATGTAAAGAAAAAAAATACATACTCATTTCTAAATACTCATCAAAAAGTGCGAGTCTTCCAGGATCCTGTAATTGATAATCTCTTTCCCAAGATGTATATTGTCTGTCATGATCCTTCGTAGCAGCAACTTGAGTTCTTTTGCGCCACCAATTTAAAAATTTTGGGGATAAAATCTCAACGAAATTATTGAAACACTGTTTCCCAATCATTATAATAGCTAACTGAATGCATACTTCAGAGAGACAACCAGCTGGATCACAGACGTCTGTCTTTATACGAAAGAATTCGGACGATCTAGCGTCTTGATCGCCAGGATGTACAAAAAATCTTCCCTGATTAACATTAACAAAAAAAAAAAAAAAAAAAAAAAAAAAAAAGAGAGAGAAAAAGAAAAAAAAGAATATCAAAGAAGTAGAAAATGAATTTGATTAGGTATAGATATACAATGTTTCATGATGATCTTATTTTTAAATGTACCTTGAAGAATGCGATGTAAATTAGCGAAGAATAAAAATTAACGAATTCAAAAAGAAATATTTTGAACGTATAACTAGATTCGTATTCTGTTTGAGTTCTTGGATTTTCCATGTTTACCATCCATCTGGCCAATCGATGATATATACGTGTAAGTATCATGATTATCACTAAATTGATCAAGGCTGCTGTCATCGAAGTGAATATCTTTGCGTGTTTTTGTAAGAAAGAACCACCGCCACCGTAAAATACGGAAACGAGAGATATACGATATATTATTGTACCTAATACTGCACCAAGGACAACGCATATCTAAAAAAAATAAAAAAAAAATCTGAATAAATATAAATATTTGTCATTAAAAAAAAAAAAAAGAAAGACAGGATATTATTGCTCATTGGTTTTACCATAAAAAATACAAAGGAACCGGTAGCACAAAATCGCATAGCTTTCGACCATGCTGGTAAATATGGCTCACGTTCTCTGGTAACTGGATTTATGCGAAATGTTTTCACTGACGTTTCAAATTCTGGCCTAGGTTCCTCGTCATCCTCTGCACTTTGAAGATCCCATTCCCAAACGATAACAGCTTGTCGTCGTTTCCATAATTCTAAGAACGTCGTTGCTACCAGAACAATATTACAATAAATATAATTGATATATAAATATGATCATGAATTAATATAAAGTTTTACCCCAAAATGACATAAATATGGCGAAGAAAACGGTCGCAGGATTATCAAAAAGATATGTTAGCTTAGAAAATATACAAGAATCGCCGAGTTTTTGATAACCACAAGCTTTGTCACAGAGCGGACATAATGTAATATTTCCTAAAGGATTAAGAAAATATATGTGATATTAAAGAATATTATACATGTCTGTATCTGTATGTGCGTGTGAGAGAAACAGAGATAGAAGAGAGAGAAAGAGAGAGAGAGAGAGAGAGAGAGAAAAAGATTTAGGTATTTGCGTTATTTATAATTACAAGTTTACCGGCAATCTTATCATCACATATTTCTTTGCTAGGTACGTTATCAGCTCCTTCCATACTTCCTAGGCCATATATAAAACATAGAAGACCAACCACAGCTGGTGCAACCAAACATTCCGTATAGAAACCAAGCCAAGCGAAATATAATGCTACTTTCTCACCGAAGTATCGTCTTATCAACCACAATGGTTGTTTCTTAAACCTAAATATAAAGAGTCATAGATTAATTATTCTCAACAAATCAATATCTATATATTTGTCTTATTACTTTGAGATTTCTTACCATTGTTTTGGATTAGCCCATATCAAATAAAGCAAATGTCTATCTAAAATTTCACCGTTATCTTCTGGCTTGTTGTATGGTCCTTCGTGCAAATGATAACAATCGAGATAAGTACCGTCTGCAACAAGTCTACGAATCCCAACTTTATCATGCATTTCGTCGTACCTTGTACGTAACAATATTTGCATCACTATTAACGATCTCTGTGCTGGCGTATATGCGGTATCTCGATCCTTTACGACGAATCTTATAATTTTATTGATTAGTAGAAATCGATCAAATATTTTTTAAACCGTTGATATTATCAATTACCTTTCCTCTCGATCACCAGAATCAATACTATCATAGAAACTAGGTTCTTCGGGATATCGATTGGTATCCCAGTGATGAAGTTTTTGTATCCAGTTGGTCCACTTTAACCATTTTTCCCAAATTTTCGGCCTACCTTTTGTACCATCCGTACCCTATTAATGTTAAATAACGATATAGAAAAAGAAATATTTCGATGAAAATAAATAATAAATAATAATAAATTCATATTCTTTACTTACCCATGCTTTAACCGATATAGTGATAAATCTTTTTGTTGGCAATTTCAAATTCATAACTTCAGCATATTGTACTTTTATTTTCCAGGGTATATGAAGTTTGAGGAAAAATGTTTTACCATCGAATGAATTTTCTTTTGGTTCTAATTCGAGTTGCAAGCCTTCCGTTAAAAGATTTTGTTGAAATATACGTCTCTGTTCTCTTCGTCTAGTTTCCAATTCCGTCATGACACCCTCGTTTTCTTCCTGATAAACGAGCACCATATCGATTCGCCTTCGGCCATCACTGAAAAGACGATAAAAATCTTACGACGTTAGTTTATTTCCTTAAGAAATTATTCTCGAGCCATTTAATGGTATTATTAAGATGAAAATTAATTTCAGAGAGAGAGAGAGAGAGAGAGAGAGAGAGAGAGAGAGAGAGAGAGAGAGAGAGAGAGAGAGAGTTTCATTTTCAGATTGTTGTTGACTCTCTTTCTTTTTCTCTCTCTTTCTGTCTTTGTCTCTCTCTCTCTTTCTTTCTCTTTTTTTACGATATATTGTTATCGCCAGTATATTCTATAATCCCACGTTATATAGATAGAAAGAGATAGTTCTTCATGACTTAATCATAGACGTAATCAGTAAATTAGTTCAATTTTTGACACGCTCTGTTTTACGAAGTAGCATGTATCTCAGTAATTATTTAATAATTCTTGCCTAAAAACATAAATGAAATGGATAAAAAGGACCTTTCTATTTTTTCTACGCTTATTAAAACTCGCGTGCTGATACGAGAACGATAATTCTGAGATAACAATCGACGATCCTTTTTTATTTTTATTTTTATTTGTATTTTATTTTTAATTTATTTTACTATCTTTCAAAATTTTTCTTTCTTTTTTCCTTTTTTTTTTTTTAATTCTTTCTTTTTCTTCTTTTTTATTTCTTCTTTTTTTCTTTTTTAAATCGTGCGTAAAAGAAAGCTCTCTTTTTTTGGTAAACATTATTAAATATATATATATATATAATAATAATAATAAAATGTATACATATATAATAATAAAAAATGTATATATATATATACATTTTTTATTTTGATTTCACAGAAAAACGCATATGTATAGAAATAATTTTTTTAAATTTGAACAGATGTCGAACTTACCGAAAGTATAATGTATCCGAAGTAATTTCATTTTCTACCGATGATCCTTTACGAGATAAACATTCCTTTGCGGTTTCATCGAAATCTGTAGGCAATGGCGTATTCGGTAACGATGGACTACTTTCCGGTGATCCTGGGGCCGTAAGTTTAGGACCTTTAACCAAATAAAACGATATATATATATATATATAAAATTTATAAACTATAATAATGAAAAACAATATAATAATAATAAATGATTGATAATGGTTGATAACATTTGATAATGATAATGATATATATATAAAACTTATTCTCAAAGTTTGTTTAGATCATTCAGAAGCAAAATTGTTTTTTATACCAATTATAAACAGATTAGAGGAAATTCTGCATCTTATAAAAAATTCCATCATAACAATCAAAAGACAGAAAAATAAAAATTCAATTCCTTGTAATTATTTATAAAAGAAATTTACATACAATAAGAATTATCGGCCGAGATATCTGTGATAAAATAATACTTTAATGTAGTTTCATGCAATCATTGGATAATCCAGTGATCTATACATTTTCACAAATGTCATTTCAAGGTTGAAGAAAGTGCGGAAAGAATGTAGATTGAAGGAAGATTAAAGGAATCACGAGGGATATTGAAGGAAAAGAATTAAAAAAAGCAAAAAGAAAAAAAAGGAAATGAAAGGAAATAGGATAGGTAATTTGACGCGTTAATTTCACCAGCCATAATAAAAATAACTTCAAGTAAAAATTTCAACATCAAATGTTTCTGATCCTTACGTTTATTATACGACATGTTTTTGCTTGTTCAAGCTTTACTAAAATTTATTTCCAAAGTTTGTACACATCTAGAGCACAATCCTATTTCATATAAACAACTACAAATAGTTTGGGTAAAGTATGCGATCTTATATGGAAAAAAAAAGAAAAAAAAAAAGAAAGAAAGAGAGAGAGAGAGAGAGAGAGCGAGAGAGAGAGAGAGAGAATTAATCGTAAAAGCCAAAAAACAAAAGTGAAAAAAAATATTATAGAAATCTTTCAATGCTTCGTCCATATAATGAGAAGTTATAAACGTGTAATTACACTAACAACTATCAGACGAGATCAATACGATAAAATCATTCAATGTAGTTTCGTGTACTCACTGGAACTACGAACGATATACACATTTGCACAACCTGTTGAATGTAAATAGAGTAACTACGATTTAGCAATGCCTATGCCAATGGTTATTTAAAAAAGAAAAAATTGAAAAAGAAAGAAGAGAAATGTTACGAACGTGAGAACGTTTGTACATTTTTCTCTTTTTCTTTTCATTTTCTTTTTTCTTTTTTTTTCCCTCCTATTACTTTCTTCTTTCTTTTTTTCAAGGTATTCAATCTCTTCGGAAAAAAAATTCATTCACAATGTATCATTCACAACGTATGATTTGAAAGGTGCCAATATTGGATTAGAATTTATCAATAAAAATAATAAGGATAGAGAAAGGACAAGACATTTACAATTGTCGTTCGGTTTTCCTCATTTTATGACTATGTGTCGAGGTCTAACATTGCATTATTAACAATGCAATGATTCGTGACATACTGACATTCACATGTATATTGATCGGCATATAACCGACGTATATAGCTTTATTTTAACCGAAGACAGGTGTCTTCCCGAATCGAATGTATATCCGACGACATATGTACATAATTAGATTATTTCTTTACACGTTCGTGTACGTAAACTGGATAGATATATATATATATATATTTATATATATACACACATACGTGGACATCGAACTTAATGATGAAAGAATAAAAAGAAATAGACTTCTTATTTTTCTTTCTCTCCTTCTTTCTCATTTCCGATATATTTCTTCTTCTCTAACTAAAGTAAATCCGTATTCATTGTTTGATAAAAATCTCATGCTAATCTTTTGATCAATATATTGTTTTTCTTTTTATCTTTTTTTTTTTTTTTGTTTTTATTTTATGTAACTCATAATCTTTATATAATGTCTATATATATATACTTTGAGGTATGTCCGTGAACATTTATCGTTACATAAGTAACCATCGTTAATTCGACTTTTAAAGAAAAATATTTTTTTATTAGCGTAGAATATTAAAGATCGACTATTTTAGTTCGAAGGATTAAATATAATCATATGTTGACGCAATCGATCGATTTCATTCGTAGTAAAACGGAAATATGTTGCTGTGATTATAGGATTTGTATGTGTGTACGTACGCCAACACACATACATAGGTAGACGGTAAAATATTTTTTTTATGTTGTATCTCCTTGAGAAAAAATATAATTTGTTTCGCAAAAGGACAAAGGATATGACAAGACGACACGTTACTTACATATTTATGACGCGATTAAAATCTCTAGTAGTACAAGTAAACGACAATTGATACGCGATATTCATACTAATCACGCGTGTAAGTACGTATCTACTTTGTTTGAAATTGTTCATGTCACTTTCTCGTGCTTAGCATTTTAAGAAAATATTGATCATCAATTTTTATCGATTGTTTATCGATCAATCCGATTAGATGAATTTAAATGAATTTATATATATATATATATATATATATATATATATAAATTATATATATATATATATATATTAAATATATATATATATATATATACATATATATTTGATTATTTAATAATTGTCATCAATTTTCAATTGATATTTTTTATGTAACATAATTAGCATAATTTTGAAATTAATTAGATATTGCAGACAGATTGATTGTTGAAACAATTTTTTAGAAAAATAAATATATTCACTAATCTTTTCAATATACTTTTCATATTGATATATAAAAGATATAAATAAATTTATTTGCATATTTTTGATATTGGACTTCATTTTTATTATTGAAGCATATAATCTTAACTCTTTAAAGTGTCATAAAAAAAAAGGAGAGAGAAAAAAATATTTGGGAAAGTTTATTCAATAAAATTTGCATAAATTAATGCCAATTATTCATGAATATTTAGCTTACCATTAAAACAATGTAATCATTTTTTTTTCTTTTTTTAATATTTATAATCTCAATGAATTAAACATCAATTAAGATTTTAATTTATAATTTAAGATCATCATTTTAATAAGTTGCCTTGATTGCGTTTGGATCGTATCTTGGAAACATTAAAAATCTTAAGAAATTAATTGTCAGTAATGAATTAATTTGTAATGTCATATACATAAAAAAGAAAAAGAAAAGAAAAAAAAAGTAAAAACGAAAACGTTAAGAAGATATATTAAATGCACGATGAATCATATTTTTGAAACATTTAAAATCTTAATAAATGATTTATCATTACGATGTCTAGTTTTAATAAATTATCAAATTGGCCAATAATTAATGTCGAAATATTTAATAACATATTTGCATAAATATCATTAGCATTTCTTATTAAAAATGTTTACTATTCCATATCGATGAATAAATGACGAGCTATGTTCTATTTCATATTGAAAAAAATATTTGATATCTTCTATTAAAATATAAAATGTGTATATATATATAACGTGAAAAAATGTAATATAAAAATAAAATAAAGATATGAAAATATATTCAAACAGAAATATTATTGTTTTACTGTAAACAGATATTATTTATTATATTTTTTTTTTTTATTTATAGATAGATAATGAAACGTTATAGTGTATATATTCCATTTATGGCAACACTCTTTTTAATATTTAATATTAATAAATAAATGAAATTAATATTAATATTTATATTGACAATAAATCCCGACAATGAATACTTCGCGCGCGATCGAATAACAAATACATAACTCATTCTCTTTGAGTATCATCCATGTAAAAAAAAAAAAAACAGAAAGAGAGAGAGAGAGAGAGAGAGAGAGGACAAGAATGCAAAAAAATAGAAATAAAAAAGGATATAAAAAGAAAAAAGAAAAAAGTTAAGAAGAAGACAATAAAACCTACCAAACGCATCACGTGCCGTCAAATTGATCCCAGATGGGTATACACTTGTCTTGGACGTTTTTTTAGGAATTTTTGGCGTCCCAGGTTTCGATGGATTCTCCGTTGCGATTGAAAGGTATGGCAGTATACAGTTCTTATCTAGCTCGTAAAGGATTTCTCTACTCGAATGATGCCCAGTTGTTGATTTTGGATTACTCAATGAAGCAGTCGAAGAAATGCTTCCCGATTTGCTGTTACTTTTACCTGGTGTTGATTTCGTCGACGTAATCGACGATGCATCAGTCGATTTAATCGATGTTGTATTCTCACTCAAATGTGATTCACCAATGCTAGACTCGGAACCGTTTTGCGGAGCGTCACCTACGGTGCTTGATCTTCTACTGTGAGCGTTCTGCAATCCACAGTAAGGTGCTTTACGATCTAGTTGATATATAATCGGTACGCAACCAGTACATATTTCATTCACGTTCTTTCAATTGTCCTAGCAAATACTAAAGTACGAAGTATTCGGTCCGTCTATCGTATCTACGACATATGTATGTATGTATGTATGTATGTATGTATGTATGTATGTATGTATGTATGTATGTATGTATGTATGTATGTATGTATGTATGTATGTATGTATGTATGTATGTATGTATGTATGTATGTATGTATGTATGTATGTATGTATGTATGTATATATGTATGTATGTATGTATGTATGTATGTATGTATGTATGTATAGATGGATGTATGGATGGATGTATGTATGTATGGATATATGTATGTATGGATGTATGGATGTTTGTATGTATGGATGTTTGTATGTATGTATGTATGTATGTATGTATGTATGTATGTATGTATGTATGTATATATGTACGTACTATCAACTTTTGAAATTACGTGTCTTAATAAATATTAAACTTAACTACTTTTATATTTTCGTCAACAACAAAAAAAAAAAGAAAGCAAGAAAAAAAAAAATAAGATACACAATCGTAAATGTTTCAAAACATATATACACACACGTAGACACAGACAAACGGAGAATTGGTTGATTTGTCGATGCGACAAATTTCAATGTATATTTTCAAATCAATAGGAGATAAGAGAAAAGAAAATAGAAAATCGATGAAAATTTATAATTATAATAAAAATATACCTGAGTCTCGTCTTCGAGCGTAAGTGTACTATCACCCATTTTAATCGAAAAGGTCAGGAACACTATTTATCGGTCGACGACAATATAAACAACACATATATATATATATATATATATATATATATATATATACACATATGTATGTGTGTGTATGACAATGGATAAGTATTTAGATTCTTGTTGATCTCGGATAATTGTTAGTCATTCTAAAAATATCCATATGTATTTCTATAGGATCGATGATTGGAATGAGAACTTGGCTGGTGTCCATGATTCAGTTTATATTTGTTGAAGTAATGAAATCCTTTAAAAACAGCTCGATCAAATTTTTATCTAAACATTGATAAAATTTTATTTGATATATAAGTACTTCTATATATTTTAATTCGTAATCTTTCAACATTAGCTTCAAATCACGATGATCGTTCGATAATGAATTGATGCCATTTTCATAAAAAAAAAAAACAAAAAAAAAAAAAAAAAAAGAAGAAGGAAGAGAAGGAACAAGAAAAAGAGAAAAAAGAAAAAACAAAAAAGAAAAACAAACGTATAAAAGTTAAAAGGAATAAGAAGAAGAAGAAGAAGAATAAAGAAAAAAAAAGAATAATCGATCAGAGAACCGATCACTTAGGACTGTGTGTGGTCAACCTCGTTGCCTGGACTATTCTTCAATTATGAATGGTAAAAGACCGGTCTGGTCTATAGTTATCGCTGACCCCGCCTCGACTAGGATGATCGTATTAGCCTTGGCCGAACGCATAGGGCAAAGGAACTTTGGTAACATTCCACTGGTAACACTTTAATCCTTATACGTGTTACATCGAAATCCATATAATTTGATTTTGGAAACCTTTCTCTTTTTTTTTTAATTTCTTTTATTATATTCTCGTCCTTTTTCTTTTCTGGATTGTCTTCTTTTTCTTTTTCTTTTTTTTTTCTCCTTTTTTTTTTCTTTTTTTTTTCTCCTTTTTTTTTTCTTTTTTTTTTTTTTTTTTTTTTTTGATACGACACATCGATCGTCCAACATTAACGATCGCATACCATTCTCTTTTTTCCTTCTATCACTTTGACTTTTTATCGTATATCCTATTATTCGCGATTTATATTATTACATTACACCACTACATCCCACCCTCACATACCACCCCTATCCTTAGTTTGCATATGTTCTATACAACAAGCAATTGATTTTTATTAAAACCTTACGAGAGTAAGTTTTTTTTTTAACCAGAGTCACTTCTTCCAACGATTTATTACCACTTTACGATCTTTTCATTTTTCATATACTCCATGATTTCATAAACTGATTTGTTTTATTATTTAGAAGAAGAAAAAAAGAAAGAAAAAATAAATCACTGTCGTTTCTTCGCACACTATGTAAAATATCACGTGTTTCAACGATTTTCATTTTATTTAAAGATTCTTCTATTCTCTCTTTAAATGACAAAACTTTCATTCTTTTTCTCCATAACATCGTATTATATCATTATTTGTTTAATCATAAGAAGGATATAATTAAATAATTGAATCGTCCAGTAAAATTGTTCGGATAGAAATCCAAAAAAAAAGAAAAGAAAAAAAAAAGAGAAAAAATGGAACAGTATCTAATAAAATATATGTGTAACAAGTTCAAGGGTACTTTCATCAAGCCTTTTTATATTTATCTATCCATTTATCTATCTATCTATCCATCCGTTTCATATTATACTAATTCTCTTTCGAGGTTCTTTTATTTTGAAAAAGAAAAAGAAAAAAAAAAGAAAAGAAAAAAGAATTGGTTTTCTTAACAATCGACAAAACAACACGAAACTGTTGTTTCACGTTTACTATCCTGACACAGGACAGAGGATACGTTAGAATGTCACGTCGCTCGTTTCCGCGGCGATACTGTGACATATACTAACCCCCGCGTGGCTCAAGAATACTTATATGTTATGCATACATGGTCACGCTCATATATCTGCCAACATTGTCACCGTATTAGTCCTTTTATATGTTGGAAGAATGTAGATATATCATTTAAACGTATTCTCTTAAATACTTATATATCACACGTGTAGGATATATATATATATATCCTAAATATATATGTATATATAAGGATATATATAGGATATATATATAATCCAAATATATATATATATATATTTATATATATATATATATATTTGACCACTTTAGGTTTTCATCCCCTCATATCATAGTCGACATATGAATATACGTTTACATTAATAGATAGAGGAACATCGTTTTTCGAATCTCTATGGTTACAAGATGAACACAACACTTATTACACGTGGATAATCCTGAAATAATCGTTGCAAACTTGAAATGCCAAAACGTGAACTATATAAATATTTATTGTTAGAAAAGAGTTTATATCTTTGTATTATATATATATATATGTATGTATATATATACATATATATGGTAATATGCCATGTGTTTACCATCTGTCATTGGTCACATCATTTGCATCCCTTTTTTCAACTTTCATTATAAACTTTTAAAATGAAGGATGTAAAGAATAATGTAAATAAATTGAAGATCTGAGGTATCAGGAAATCTCTTTTCATTTTACTTTCTTTCTTCTTTTTTTATTTTATTTTATTATTATCAATAGTATAAGTATAGATTGGTATAAATATAGAAAAAAAAGGAAACAAAAGAAAAAAAAGAAAAAAGAAATGAAATATGTAATACAGAAATATTTATGACTAGTACGAGTCACTTATCGTTCTTACATCTATATGGAGTATTTTTAGAAGTTACCTTATGTCGCGTAGATTTTATTTTACGAATTGTACTGTCAACGACTTTCATTGACTTTGATTACTGTAGATATCTGCCTGAGAGAAAATAATATTACCGACATTCGATTGATTAAATTTATTTTATATATATTAAACATTCATATATAATTTAACATAACGTTATTGAACAAATTAAGATATAATAATATCAATGTTAATATTTTATTTTCTAATGATTTATTCACATTAAAAAATATAGTACTGTTTTAGTAATATAATTTATAATAAAATAAAAAAAAGGGCAGTTTTATAGCATTATAGATTTATAAATAATATAATAATATCACTTATTATTAGCGCTATCAATCATATATAATAACAAAGTGTATCTTTGCATCCATTCTGTAAATGTTAAATCATCTACAGTTTTATCTACGAGTGCCATAGCTTCTTGAACGGTTTGATTATTCCTACAAAAAATAATTTTTAATATTTATTATATGATCTTATACAAAAAAAAAAGAGGATATATAAATTACGTAGATCTTATAATTGTTACACATTACCAAGCATTTAATGCAACATTAAACGCATCGATTTGTTCCTGTGCTTTACTACAGTTACGTTGTGACAATGTCAATAATTCCATAGTATCATAATCTTTAGTAGTATCGTTATCTATAAAAACGTGTAAATCATTGTCTTCATCTGTTAATGGAGTCAAGGCATTTTTATAAGCATTATTTGTAATTAGATTTTTATAGTAATCTATCAGATAATATATTGGTGCTCTTATCATTGGGAAGTATGGCATAATATTTGGAACATTTAAATTTTTCATTAAAACGGACGCTTCCTTTAAGCAGCATGATTCATGTCTGGAAAAACAATTTTTTTTTTTTTTTTTTTTTTTTTAAGATATTCTTTACATACAAAACTTGATATCGTACTCACCTAAAAGATTGAATATCTCCATGGAGTATTATTTTTTTTAATGCTCTGATATCTAAGATATCATAAAATATATGCAATTCAGTCGTTAAATCCTTATTTAACCATTCAAAGTTACTATTATCAACTCGTAGAGCTAGAAGATTCATACATTCAGTTTGCACATTATTTTTTATTCTTGTTATGATGCACTCAGCAGATTTTAACAGTTGTAACGATCGTTGTATATTTTCAACACATTTTTCCTTTAATAAACTTATTATTATGATATGTTTATATGTAATTCTTTGACATTCTTTTTCTATAATTAATTAGTTTTAATATAACTTACTATTTCCGAGTCAATCGTATGAATCTCCGATAATAATTTTTGAAGTTCTAATGTTGGTAAGTTAATATCGTTGTACTCCGATTGGATCAGTTTAATTTCATTTTGCAATACTCTTTCCTCTGTTTCCAATTTTTTCACTTCTAATGCCAAAGTTAACCACTCGCTGAGATCAATATGATTTTCAGTACTTGTCTTTAAAATATAAAATCACATGTAATATGTACGGGAGTTTATGAGTTTGTTTAAATTGAATATAAAACAATAATTTACCTCGATATTTGTAATATATTTCATAACATCATCTTCACATTTTTTTGCTTTTATATCAAAAAATAATTTTCTTGAAATTGTGTAAATATTTTTTCCACATAATTTGGCAATACCAATATCAATATCTTCTCCATTTTTATCTGTATCTTCTGTTTCAGGATCGTCCATATTTTCTGGAGTAATTAAAGTTCTCAATTTCAATAAATTTTCTACATCTTGGCACAGTCCTTGATATAATTGGGCCCATAACGTAGAGACTTTAATATGACCAAGTAAATTTGATATTTTACTTTTCACCTAATACGTTATTAATTTATTAATATTTATTATAATACATATTTGTTTGGGTTTTTTTTTTTAAATATTACAATACACACCTCTCTTTTGGTTGCGCCAAAACAAAGTGTAGTTACTATATCTAAGCTTTCCTTTAACATATTTTGATCTAATTCTTCTGATGTTTGCGGCATTAAATTTTGGCATATAAGTCTCATATTATTACCATCATTGAGTTGAGTAGATACTTCGTTATGTTTTATTTTCAATAATGTTTTTTTAATTTTTGCCAATGAATACTTTGATTTAATATTTTTCAAATGTTTCACTGTAATTGTTAAATTTTATATAAAAATTATTTAATTTAATAAATAATGAAAGATTTTATATATGTCATACCTCTTTGACGAACCAACAAATCTTGTTGCTCGTATTCTTCTTTCAAGGACGAAGAAACAGTCTTAAGCCTATTTCTTTCTGCTTTTAAAGATGAAATGTCTTGTATGCATTCAATAGTAGCATCTTTTTTTTTATGTCTTAATTTGTACAATAATATATTTTTTCTTATTTCTCTTACATCCTTACTTGTAAATGTTGCATTACCTATTTCAGACCATAGTAATTCTAATATTCCTTTACATAATCTACAAAAAGTATAGTTTCTTAGTAAAATTATTTCATTCTACATTTCATTTTTAATTGAAATAAAAATGTTGAACAAACATTTTCTTTATAGGATCTGTACATGCAGTCGGAGGGCATTGCAATCTGTGTGCCCAATCGAAGTTATTCATTGGATTGCCCATATTTACAAATTTCTGGAATTGGATCAAAATAATACTATCAACTGAAAAAAAAAGAAAAAAAAAAAAGAAAACTCATTATTAATAACAGAACTATTAGAGTAACATTGATAATCTAAGTATTGCTTTCATAAAACAATATTTGAGCATTCACATAATTATATTTTATGGTTAGAAATATGCATACAAAGAATAAAGAAAAAATTACTTGCCAGTAAATATTAGATACTTCATAAATATACTTACCATTAAAATCAGTAAATTAATAATATTTGATATTCCCCTATCATAGGTAAACATAAGATAAATTAAAGTATCATAAAAAATTATACAAAACACTGAGTCTATTACAAAGATCATTCGTAACCATTAGTTTTTGTAAACCTTTGTTATCAATTAATTATTCATATAGTAACACATAAGATTACTAATAAAATCACTTTTAATATAAAGAAAAAATATAATAATTGTCAAAAAATATAATTCTAAGTTACTGTTCATTTACAACAATATTTCAAATTTATACATTACGTATACGTATATTCGATTGGTTCTTAATATGTTGGTTACCGTGTTATCACGAAAAAGTAGTACATTATATTGTTCCAGAGTGCTCTAATGTCTAGTTTAATAGTCTTACTGGAAATTTATATCCATACGAATATTTGTGGATATATTATTTAAATTTGAATTACACTTATGAAAAAATAGTATATTAAAAATATAATTTAATATAGGAAATTCATAATACATAGGAAATAGAAAGAAAAAATTATATCATACATTCAACCAATTATATTCGATATATGGATCTATTTATTTTTAATTTGGTATCACTGTACAACGACGGTTAGAATTAGCGGGAAGCGAGTATAAAATATACGAATATAAAAAATTAAGTTTGGACGTGTAAGTAACGCTAATTTAAGGCTATTCACCACTTTTCACTCTTAACGTATATAACTTTAACAAAAGATATTTAGCAGCAAAATATGAACTGTAAGTGCCATAAGGAAATAATGTCCTTACTATTGCATCGATATATAAGCTTTCGTATAAGTTTATAGGTTATAATGTATAAGCTTATAGGTTATAAACTTTTTACACATAACAAAAATATTTATATGTAGTAAAAATGGTTAAATGGTCACATTTGATAAAAACAAGAAACTATATATTGGTGATACATAATTCGATTTAAAAAATTATTTTTGTTTAAGATTGTTCATCGCTCCTGCTTTTAATTGATAGTTTATGTCAACAATGAGAACAGACATAATTCTTGATTGATTTTGATGAACAAGGTCACATTTTAAAGTCGAAAGTTTAAGACCCTACTTTTTCGAACTTTTGAAAAAGTTTCTTTTTTCTTTTTTCTAAATAAATAGCTAATGCTCAGATTTTCTGAATTATTACCAAACATAAAGTCATACATTTGAAAATGTTTGAATAGAGAGAAGTTTACTCTTTGGACAGATGATTCTATGACAAAAACAAGGAAATTCATGTCCATTGTCACAGAGATTGTAATGCACGAGAAACTTATAATAATTTTGATTTAAAATTTCAATACTTAAAAATTTTCGTACCGGAGTAGTTGACTAAGAACTCAATGTTTTTCTAAAATTTAACAATTTTTCAGAATCCAAGATCCATTGGAATGAATGGTTGAATTCGTATTTTCTTATTTTTATCATAAAATCCATTTGTCGAAAGCTCATTAAAATACATGAATGATTTAACATTAATTTGTCCTTGTGAACAATCGCAATTTCTTGCGTTTGAAATGGATCAGAAAATCTGAACATAGGTTCACACACACACACAAGTAATCAGGCAATTGTTTACTTCACGAAACAAACATCTCTCAAAATTTGAAAATCAGTAATGGGGATAGAAGCTTCTTCTCTTTTGTCGCGAAGTTCAAGGGGCGCCACTATACACAAGATCTTTTTTTTACAGGAGAACTGTTGGTAACATCGTTATGGTAACAGTGTACAGGCGTAATTCTTGACAGATTTTGATAAATGTCTCATTTTAAAAATAAAGATTTAAACGAGAATATAGCTTTTCCGAATCTTTGAAAAAGCTTTATTTTTATGTATAAACTATTCTCAAAAAAACATTATTATTTGATACGATTTTTTTCTTTTTTTTCTCTTTGTTTTTTTTTTAAGAAAAAGCTCTTTCAAAAATTGGTAAAAGTTATATTCTCTCTCAAATCTTCATCTTCAAAATTAGACTTTCTTTGTTGAAATCGGTCAAGAATTACGATTGTACTCAATATTGACATAAATTATTATAAAATCAAAAATGATGAACAGCCATAATGAGAATAAATTTTAAGGTTATTTTTGCTTTATATATAAATATATATATATGAATCACAATTTGAATATAGCTTTAATAATATAACTTCTTTTTAATGCTTCTAAAGCAAACAGGAAATGAGCATAAAATAAGTGAATATAAAAAATGAAATTAGGATAAAATTTGTAGGGCAAATAATTAATTCTAGCATAATGTAAATAATTTTACATATAATATCATTTTTTTCTAAATTGACTAATGAACTATATATAACAATTATAATTTGAATACAGCTTTACTAATATTACCTTTTTTTAGTTCTTCTAAAGCTTCACGATATTGGGAAAGACTATAAACTTTAATACCTAATTTATCATAATCCAAATATTGATCTGCCATAGCTTCCAAAAGACATAATGATCTAGGAAACGTGTGAGGATTTATATTTACACCCACAATACTCAGTTCCTTTTTGAATATCTATAAGAGTTATTAATAATTAGCACGATTTAAAAAAACAAATTAGATAATTATATATATATATAAATAATTCTCTTACTTTATATGGTTCGATGGACATTTTTGCTTTAGGATTAGCTACACCAAAAATGCAGAGACAACCACCAGGTTTTAACAATTGTATAGCTGTTTCCATAGCAGGACCAGAACCACTACAGTCTATTATTAAATCAAACTCATCATTTTTAAGTTGATTAGGTTCTTTTAGCTTGTAGTTTAAATCTGAAAATATTTCAATAGTTAAGTTATAATAGATATAGCTTTTGAAATTAACAATGATATAATTAATTATATTTACCAAGTTTTGAAGCTATCTTTCTTCTTTTTTCTTGAAGTTCACTAATTGTTACTGTATTTCGTAATCCACGTAGATGTAATAAACAAGACCAAAAAAGACCAATGATACCTGCGCCAATAATCAGTACTTGATGTCCTACATGTATTGTACCAATTCTTTTCAAACCATGGGCCAAACAAGATAATGGTTCTGTAAGTGCAGCCTGATGCATTTGGACTTTATCGGGTATTAAGTGTATCTTAAAATCATCATTATTCAATGTGCATAAATCAACATGAATATATAAATAGAATATACAGATTTAATATAAATATCATTATTGTTGTATATAAATGTACCTGAGATTCTGGAACAAGAACATGGGTCGCCCAACCACCATTTCTATAAATACCAATAGTGTTTCTTAATCCGCCATATTGACAATAATGATAATTTCCAACATGACAATCGTTACACTTGTGACACCCACTGTTAGGATCTACCGTAACTCTTTGACCAATTTTAAAATTAGTCACTTCATTTCCAATTTCATCGATTGTACCACAAAATTCATGTCCAAGAACAAAAGGACCATCATTTTTGCATGTAAATGCACCCTGTAAGATTATTTTTTTTTTAAATAAAATTATTAAGTAAAATATGAATTAGCATGTAATCATATGATATAAAATTAAACATTGTGTCAATTCAGTCACATTGTTGCGAAATATTTCTTAATTTATATATTTTTGTCATCTTAACATTTCGTAATGATTTCTGTTATAACTTTTTTTCACAATAACGATAAGAACGTAATTTTATTTTCAACGATATGAATAAAATGATATTAATTGAAAGTAAAAAAAAAAAAAAAATAAGAGAAAAGAATGTAACGCGTAAAAAAATAAGAATTCGATTTATTGCTTGCAATTTTGAACATATGGTTGAAGAAAAATGTTCCATAAAAGTTTTTCTCAAAAAGAAAATAAATAACACGTCCAGAGCGCATGTTCAGTGTGATAAATATAATTCAATCGTTTTTATATTTAAACTTTATAATCGAATGAAGCAATTAATTCAATTATAATTGAAGAAAATTAACTCGCGTCACGAGAGAGAGAGAGAGAGAGAGAGAGAGAGAGAGAGAGAGAGAGAGAGGGAGCTCTCGTGAAAATTGATAACAATGGTAAGGACGATATAAAAATAAATGACATACTTCCAAGATATGCAAATCCGTTCCACAAATTCCTGAGTATGCGACTTTTATTCGAACTTCGTCGGATTTTGGTATCGGAATTGAAGTTTTTTTTAAAGTAAGCGTTTTGCTTAATGGATCGAAGGATAGACACTCCATATCTATCTCTGTTTCACGAATGTAATGTAACACTCTGTTGCGCGTTCAAGAGTAAAAATCCAACTAAAAACAGGCTTAGGTTTCGTCCGTCGGCTGCTTTATAAATCGTTTGCATGGAAATTTTGTAATTCTTTGTTGTTAATTTATAGGGGTCATATGACGATATTAATCAGTGAACTTAGTGACGAAACATATGTTGCATTCCCGATTGGTCAATGATAAGCCATGATAGCTTTGAACAAATATGTTCTTAATGTGTCACGTTTTTAGTACGAGAGTTTTAACATTCATTTAGAAGTATAACATTAGATGAAATTCATTCTGAAAATATGAATAAATAATTTTGTTGATTGACGTATAATAAGATAAGTGACCATTGTATTTTTTTTATATTTTACTTTTTTTATGTATTTCAGATTGAATATTAGATAAAAAAAAAAAAAAAAAAAAAAAAAAAAAATAAACTGAGAGAAAAAAATCAACACATTCTAGATAAAAGATATAATAATACTGGACAGTTATATAATACTTTTAGTTATATAATATATAATACTTTCAAAGGTTATTCTCCAAGTTTACGACTTGCTTTTTTGAAAAATGAAAAATGATCGCCTTAGATACTTTTCACGGTATTCGTGGTATATATTTTACCAACAATCGACTTCGTTAACCGAAATTCCTATGGAACACACCATGACATCGACACATTCAACGGAACAGTATAATTCGTGGAAACGTTACTCTAACATCTGCTCGAACGCAGGTAATTCTGGCAGAACTTTTATTATGAAACTAGTCTAACAAAAAAAAAAAAAAGAAAAGAAAAAAAAGGTAAAAAAATAAATTATCTGCTCTATCAATGATACGAAAGACCGGCTTACGTAAGTTAATACGCCTACCCGTGATTTGTAGTATAATAGAATTATGTTTACTTAACGATCATAATAGATCTCATTGTAGTATTATCACGTATTTACTTCTTCTCTCGCAAAAATTAATGCGTCTCGAATGGAAGACATAAATGGATGTGCCCTTGAATTCTATACGTTACTCTCAAAATTATTACATTTCTTAAAGATATCATCATATCTGTGACAAATTGTAAGAGACGATGACTTTTTAGTTTACTATTTGTCCTCGTCAATTCTTTATTATATCTCGTAGGAATGTAAATATGTTTGCAAATAAAGAAAGAAAAAAAGAAAACGAAAAAGAAAAAAAAAAAGAAAAGAAGAAAAGCAAGAATGAAAGAAAGAAGGAAAAAGAACTATCAAAAGATATCAGAAGAAATTGGGAAAAATCTTTAAAAATATTTCTTCAATGAACTAACCGATAGATTTGATTTTGGATTGTATAGATCCAAACGACATATTGTTTTTTCTTTGTCTTCTTATTTTTTTTTTCTTTTCTTTGTCTTTCGCTCCCCTAGGTCTTCCCTCCCCCTCCTATCCCCCTTCTCACGAACCTCCCGCCCTCCCCTCCCATCATCACCACCATCCCAGCCTCAAGTCCGCCACGATTTCCTCCTTTCATCGAGCCGCGACAAATACCTACCTATACGAGGAAAATTCATTCATGCCCCGGACTCCGGGATGAACGAGAGCGTTCTTCGATTCACGAGAAATTTCGGGTCAACGGGACAGAGTTGCCGGGATAGAAGCTAGCTGCACCAGGAACCGGAAATGAGGTCGAGAATGACGTCATCGCGTTCAGTGCCGTTCATTCAACCCCCGGGGATAAAGTAGGTCAGCGGGCCGACTTACCCCTTCAACCCCTATTAAACCATGGAAACGATTCTCTGCTCCAGAAAACGCACGCACGGTTCTCTCCTCCACCCTACCCCCTTCTTTCTCTCTCTCTCTCTTTCTCTCTCTACCTCCTCTTCCCCCTCCTCCTCTACCACCCCAGACCAACCCTCCTTTGGCCGCTCACCACCAACACTCTCTACGTCGACTCTCGTCGATTCACGCGTCGCTCGATGAACGAGGAGAGTTTCTCAATGCACTTTTTATCCGATCATAACTCTTTCTCTTTCTCTCTCTCTCTCTCTCTCTCTCTCTCTCTCTCTTTCTCTCTCTCTTTCTTTTTCTATCTTTCTCTCTATCCTTCTTTTTCATTCCTTCTTGAGGAACGGCAAACCAGAATGAAATATGATGTATATATGTATTTCAAATTAATCTGATATAACTCGTCGAGATATATGTACACACACATATATATATATATATATATATATATATATATACACAAATATGTATATGTATACACATAGATAGATATATAGACATCATGAATATTTATTGATGTCACAGTATTGAGCCTGATTTGAGAGTCGTCGAAACGGTGACGTCACGATTCGGATAAATCAAATATTTTCAGAATAACAAGAAAGGCAAGAGAATCATGATATTATATAGTATATGTATATCCAATTTGTCTATGTTCGATAATTCAAACGCAAAAATCTAAGCTTTACAGATTTCTTTTTTCTATTTAGAGAAAAATTAACGAATGACTTTATAGTTTTATCAATCGATGATTTAATATCTTTACTATCATTGTACAATTGTCTTCTTTAATTTCCGCATGTTTGATACTTCATTCTTTTCTTTTTCTTTTTTAAATCTCTCCCAAGTGAACGGCACTACAACTAACGTTCTTTTATTCGTTCTTTTTTTCATTTCGCACAACAACATTGTCGTTTTTATCGACGTCGCGATTAAAAAAAAAAAGATTTATTTCTGACAGGTTAAAGTATCGTTAAAACGTTGTTCCTTCGTAATACTGAAAAAAAATTACTAAAAAAAAAAAAAATGAAAAAAAGAAAAAGAAGGAAGAAAGAAATAAGCGTGAAATTAATTTCGAAACAAAGTGATCGAAACTTTTTTTTTATATAGGTATATAAAAAACTTATTGAAGAATTTTAAGATTTCTTTGAATTGGATAATGAAAAGTTAAATAATAGTCTTTATTTAGGTATGAATATATATATATATATATATATATCTAATTCTATTTGTTAGATTACGAATTGGTCAGAGCTATAAATGCCAGCAGATGTTCTTGATGACGATGGTAGCTAACAAGCAGACAGGAAGTTGCCGACCGTTTAACCATGGATTAGTCAGCACAACCAACGTAGGCAGGTGTACATTTTACATCCGGAAATGACTCGGTCAGCGAGTCTCTTCATGAGATATATTCGGAACTCTACCCCTTTTGTCCACCTACGCTTTGTAATGTCGGTATACATCTCGGATAGTAAGTATTCGGGAACTGATCATGTTTCCAAGGCGTAAGTAAACGTGTCCGTATGTACGTGTGTGTGTGTGTGTGTGTGTACATGTATACATAATATGTAAGAAAAAAAATATATATATACAAATATATATGTATATGTAAGAGAAGTAAGGCAATGATACAATTTCATTCAATAATGGACTATATTCGACTACGTCCATGGACATATATATATTTGGTGTGGTGTGGTGGTAGTGATGATGCTGGTGGTAGGTATGTGTGTGTATATATATATATATATATATGTATGTATGTGTGTATAGATGTGTAGATGTGTTAGATGGGTAGGATAGAAAGAAGATTTAAAGCGTCCATATTTGTAAGCAAGGCAGGCTCTTTTCTTCGACCTGCTTTGTGAAGTTCTCTTTAGACCGGAAGTTCGTGATCTTCCTGTCTGGACTTCCTATCTAACAAAGAAAAGGGTAGAAAAAGGACTTGAACAAATAATGCGACTAATGTCACAAATTTAACCGTTAAATTTGATAATAGAAATGGAAACAAAATAAATTGATTGTCTCTAATTTATCTTACTTATGAAAGTAATTTATATATGTATTTGTATATATGTATGTTCACGGACATATGTAGACAACTGACATATTTATAATTGTTATAAAACGATCGTTTTATCTATAAGCAAAAGATTACACCTTGCAAAATCGTTTGACTTACATTTTCATTTTGACATTTTATAAATTATATAAAGCCATTAAATGTTTACGATCGTTTATTTATGCAACAACTTCTCTATATATATATGCATATATATATATATATATATATATATATATATATATATATAGATAGATAGATAGATAGATTCGAAAAACTATGATAACGTCACAAAACGTGTTATTTATCATTTAAAAGAGAATTATTATCGCGGTTCATATCTAAAACACAGCTTGTTGATATTGCTGCTATTCGTACTAGAGCTCTCTCTTTCCCTCTCTTTCTCTCTGTTTTCCTTTCCCACATTCTTCTCTTACGTTTAATTTTAATCTGAAATGAAATTAGGAAGAAAAGAAATGAAAATTGAATGATATTTAAAAAGATAACAAAAATATTAATAAATTGACAAATATATTTTTACTATGAAATATCGTCTCCTTTATTTTTTCTTTTTTTGTTTTATTCAACTTGATTTTATTTTTATACGAAATCTTTATATTTCATACATGACAAAAATTTGTGTAACATTTTGATATAAATAATTGATTTGTAATAAAATTAAAATTATTGTGCCATATTAATTGATAAGTAACGAAAATATGAACTATCGAAAGAAAACATTTCTTCCGTATAAAATTTATCTTCTACTTCTATATTTTTCATTTCTTTAATTCACATTTCAAAATAATATAAACTCATTTCATTTTAACAAAAGAATTAATATTTACCAATATTAAATTTCAAATCAAAATTAGAATTACTCGTTAGCAACTGAATGAAACTTAATCATGATCGGCTTTTATCAGCTGATCCTTATGAGCAGGTTGACATTTGATTCTCCTGATATACAGGTGCATAAGTGTTAGAGAGAGAGAGAAAGAGAGAGAAAGAGAGAGAAAGAGAGAGAGAGAGAGAGAGAAGTGGAGAGAGAAGGGAGAAGAAAGAGAAGTAGTAGGTTTGCTTTACACAGGCCGCAACACGATGACCCAGTTTCGACGTTAACACAGTACGCTCTTGGGTGAATGGTCTCATCGACGTCACTACTCCTGGAACTAGGTCACCATAGGATCCCCGTTCATACCACCTGCATCACTCATCCCCTCTATCAATGAGAAGGTACTTGTTAGGATGACGGCCATTCAGGTACGTAAACTTATTCCTATAAAAAAGATTGTATGAAATGAGAAGTGAGAGAAGAACGGAACACGTATGTATATATGTAATTCGCATTTTCATTTATTTATTCAACTCTATATACTCCGATAATTATTTCTATTTATCCGTTTGATAACAGATTTATACGCATAAAGGTTAAAGATCAATATAGATAAACGGAGTTTCAACAAAAATTTTACACCGATAAAATATCTAAATAACGAGAAATTTTAATGAGACAATTTTTCTTATCGATAATAATTAAATTTATTACTTAATAGGATGTAAAAGTATTAAATTATTCAAAGAAAATTAAGAGAAAGGAATCGATGAAAAAGAAAATAGGACACACACACACACACACACATATATATATATATATATATATATATTTATATAGATCCAAAATCTATCAAAAGAATTTAAATCAAAAGAAATTGATTGAATTTCAAGGTTTATGTAAGAAAATGTGAATCAGATTAAAATTCAATCGACATCGTAGGAAATACGATGTAAAATGATTTTATTCAATGGCAAAGGCACATAGAAAATGTACCCCGCTGGTAAACATATCGAGTATAGATTTGACCTTACTAAAATTATTGAATAGAATTAATCGGAGCACCGACCGATATCCGTTCCTCGAAACGACCGCCTCTCTTTCTCTCTCTTTCCATCTCTATCTCTCTCTTTCTTTCTCTCTCTCCCTCTCTCTCTCTCTCTGTATTTCTCTCATACGACCTTTCGCCTGTTACATAAATCTACATCGAACGTGTACGTACGTACGTATGTATGTATATATATCCTGCGTTGATACAATGAACGAAGCAACGCGAGATAGAACATTAGATTTATGGCAGATACGACATACCAGGGAGGATGACCATACATAAATGTGTACATATATATTTGTTCATGCGTTATAAAGGATTTAAAACGATCTAATGAAGCATCCAAATCGGATATTTCTTATGTCTACATTCTATATATCTTTCGTTCGAAAAGTCTGAAATGATTTATATAAAAATTCTTGAAATTATGATATCTAACGTTCTTTCAGGAAATAGAATTTCAATGGAATTTTAAAGGTGTTTCTCGACACGTATACAATTCGGGATATCGACGAAATACGTAGAATAGTAATACGTGTTTCATCTTTCTCTCTTTCTCTCTCTCTCTCTCTCCATCTTTCTCGACAACGAGAGAAAGCAATTTCAACGTTACCGCACACGTCCGATGATTTACCTGCGGCAAAATGCATGCCGTAAACGCTTTCAATTGCAGGATGCTTCGAGTGTGCGTGGGTCTCCATTATACCCTACTCGTATCTCATGTTGACAACCAACCGTGACATCTGATTTAATTAAATGGTTTGTCCAAGTAATATACTCAAGAGAAAATGAGAAACACATATACATATGTATGTAGATCCAATCTTACGACCTTCCATTCTCTTTATCAACGGACCAACACTGTAATCCGTATGTTCGAATTATATAAACCGCTTGTTTTCTTTTCTTTTCTTTTTTTTTTCTTTTATATTTTTTTTTCTTCCTTTAATTTTTTCTTATTCCTTTGATTTGTTATATATTTTTTTTTATTCTTACTACTTCGCGTCGTTCCCCATCCCCTTCTCTTTACTTCTTAGTTCTTCACGATTATGCAACGTAACAACGATGATAACGAATATATTTACGTAAGTTGGATATGTTCCAGATGAAAAGAGTTAAAACTCGTTAGAAAACAAATGTATATACATACTAGAATACGTTAAAAAAAAAAAAAAAAAAAAAAAAAAGAAAAAGAAATAAAAGAGGTACAAGTTTTTTGGTGGAAAATAAAAATGAAAAAGAAATGAAAGAAAGAATAATAAAAAAAAAAGGAAAAGGAAAAGGAGAGAGAGAGAGAGAGAGAGAGAGAGAGAGAGAAAGAGAAAAGGCCATTCCTTAGGCGGACTCCTGTAATTACCAAGCAATGTTGTTGCCAGAGGCACGTAAAGAGAAAGAGGGAAATAAAAGGGTGGCGATAAATTCCCAGCGGCGAAGAATAAACGTCGAGGTCGAGAGTTGGAGTTCCTACCTTCTTCGTCTCTCTTTCTCTCTCTCTTTCTCTCTTTTTTTTTTCTCTCTCTCTCTCTCTCTCTCTATCTCTTTTTTCTCTTTCTCTTTCTGTCAATAACTTTCTTTTTCTCTCTCTCTCTCTCTCTCTGTCTACCATGCATTCTAACTTCTTCGTAATTTCCCTTCTTTATAAGACTGCAGAATAGTTAGATATAGATAGATACATTTATTGATATTTATTGCAGTGTTAAACGAGATCTACATAATGAATGTTAATCTCGTTTGTGTGTTGAATTATTAAAGAAAAAAAAAATAAAAAGAAAAAAAGAAAATATATATATATATGTATATATATTATACGATGATACTTACTGTGAGATCCATAATATAAAAATAAAATTTAGAAGTTCGTAAGAGTAGGGAAGAAATAAGGGTTGTGGAAAAGGTGAAAAGTAGAAGAAAAGTTTTGCAGGAGGAAATAAATTTTATTTATATTATTTTGAAACTTTAGAATTTCAATTATTTACAGAGAAGGGAGCGAGAAGGGGGAGGGGGCAAGAAAGAGAAAATATGAATGAACGGGCTCCATCTTGGGATTCATTTTTTAAGTAACATGTACCTCTTCCGTATCGTAAATTTTCCTTCTAGCATTTCGTTTGGAATTTTACGTAAGCACGCAGCTTCCACCGTCGACTCTTCGTCTTTACGAGGAATTCTATTTATTGCTAAATGCATACATACATGGGATAGATGTATACATACGTATGTATGTACGTAGGTACGTATACGTACATGGATATATATATATATATATATATATGTACATACACAGGAAATTCAAGAAACCTTCGAAATAGAGTCGGTCAACCATTCGACCGTGTTACCAACCAATATCGAAGAGCAATTTTCAATTTCTGGTTAAGTAAGAGAAAATAAGATGTAATGGATGCACCGATGCGAACTTGTATGTAAGAAGTTTTATAGGTCGAGTTAGACAGCTACTCAAGAAATATGTTGACATTTAAACACCTACCCTTATACATACATATATATATATATTTTATAAGAAAAAAGATTAGAATAATTTTTTGTATATTTTTAGATCATTACTAGATATATTTCAAAATATGGTTAATGTTACGTTTATCATGTCCATTATCATTAATAATAATTTCTTCTCAATTTATTTACAATTTCCTTGCAAAAGTATTAAATATTTTTTATTATCATCATCTAGATTACATAATTTTACACGTTTTTAATATTTTTTATTGAAAATTTAATAGAATACATTCATATATATATATAGGTAACTTTCAAGGTCTAAAAAATACTATAGAAATTGAATAAAAAAAAATGGAATAACAAAATAATACTTGATAGATCGTATGAAGGATTCAAAATATTTAATAAAAAAAAAATGTATAAAAACTAAACACTAAATATATTTTTACGTGTCGTTGCGCGACACATACATGCGTCGAAATGCATAGTTATATATCTATAAAGAAAGAAAAAATAAAAATAGAAAAAAACGAAAAAAAAAGAAAAAAAAAACAAAAAGAAATAAGAAAAAAAGAAAGAACGAACAAAAATTTTTTCCAATTAACTATAACCAAAACAATCGAACAATGAAACAAAATCTATTCCGTAGGCTCAATTCCAGCAGATATCAATAATATCGGCGCTTGTCCACGCATGTATCCGAGGGACGTTTCTGGCCTAGCAACCGATTCGAAATTAAACCGCGCCGTTAATGCGACGAGAAGGGCTGGGATAGATGAGGGATGCGGGGAGGGATAGGGGAGTGAGAGAGTGAGGGAGAAAGGGTGAGGAGAGGAGGGAGAGAAGGGGACGAGAAGAGAATGCACAGCAACAGCATCCCTTCTGCGATACCACGTTTGTGGGGAGACGCGCGCCGGTGCGAAGACGGAGATCTTTGAAGGAGGGTGGGTAGTACTGGAGAATGGCCGGATAATGGTGAGCAAGAGAGAGACAGAGGAAGAGAAAGATGAATAGAGGGAAAGAGAGAGATAGAGAAAGAGAGAGATAGAGAAAGAGAGAGAGAGAGAGAGAGAGAGAGAGAGAGATACGTGAACGGAAAGCGGAAGCAACGGAGCCGCTCAATGAAAGAGCTCTACCCCTGCAACGGATGCGAATGGGCTGGCGTCCCATTGAAGGTACCTTGGATATTCGCATTGCGTATGCGCAGGGTTGACGTGTTTCTCTTTATCGAGCAAAAGCCTTTCTCTCTCTCTCTCTCTCTCTCTCTCTCTCTCTCTCTCTCACTCTCACTCTCTCTCTCTTTCTATCTCTGTCTCTGTCTCTGTTTCTCTGCACTATTCTACTACATCATTTTTCCTTTAGCTATTCTCCTCTCTACCACGAAAAAACATCTTCACCAGAAAAGATTCATATATATATATATATATATATATATATATATATATATATATATACATATATATATATATATATATATATATATATATATACATATATATATATATATATATATATATATATATATATATATATATATATATAGAAAGAAAGAGAAAGAGAGAGAGAAATGTTTTGTACGTATATACATGTTTTGTACATAGAGAAAGTTGTTCTTCTCTTTATATGTAATCGTATATCTCTAATCTCTTACGTAAGCAGAAAAACAAGAGGACGCACTCATCTTCGATATTAAATCTGTAATGTAATACGTATGGATAAACGGACAACCGACATGCGTTATAAATTTCTTTCCAACTTTATCTGATAACGGTTTAGATCCACAATGATTGTTGATCGTATTTATTTAAGATCCGTTAGAATTTCGATCGAATTATATTTTACTTGCCAATTAGTATTAGTATAACAATCTGAGGATGTATCTCAGCGTTGACGAAAAAAAAAAAAAAAGAAGAAAAATAATTT